AAAAGCTTTACTTCTTTATAATATATTTCGTATATGAAATTTAATAATAGACCACTGCATTTACGATTTTTCTTCTTTGCTTTGTATGTTGTTTCTTTTTAATAAATTAAAAATCATATTTTTAAATTGTATATAATAAGTTTATATTGACTTATAGGCCCCTGCGTGCTGGGTGTTGAAACTTGTAATAGGAATTGTTCCTATATTGTAAATCTTACAAATTTTATTTACTTATTAAATCACGAGCTGAGATATAAAGCTGGTTCGAATTAAAAATGTCTGTACAGTTGACTTATTCCATAGTTCCTTAACTGGTTATAAATGTTCCCTGACATTGAATAGTGCCTTATATCAATTTTGTTATGTTTCAAAGTCGTAAATATTGTTACGCTATATTATTTAAGAATTCATTATTTCTTGTAATAAGAAACGCAGCCCCGACACAAGGGCATAGGATACAGATATGAGGCACTGATCCAAACCCGGTAGAGGGCATAGGATACAGAAATGGGGGGAGGGACTTGCCAATAGCTGTTACAATTTACAATGTATAAAGATATTATACGATGCTTGTCACGATATTTATATTCATTCATAAGATATCATATATTGAACTGCCCAATACGGTAGTATTATTAGGACGAGTACATGGCTGGGCTAATGACATATTTGAAAGGCTTTCAGCTAAGAACGACCTGGTTCTAACAATATCTACTCCAGTGAAAAACAAGTTTTAGATCAAGGTACATTCACTGTCAAGCATTTTGTAATAACGTATCTTATTGAACCATTTGCGATTCTTGAAAAATCTGTCAATTACTTACAGTAAACGCGTGACCAGTACAAATATATTCCTTGCACGTTCGTATACATTGTCATTTTCGGTATTTGCACAGTTCAGCGGTCCAATTCAAACTTTCGTTCATGATATGGGTGCGTTCATCCGACCTGGTTTCTTTAACTGTGTAATTATCCGTATCGTTCAGTTTTATTATTATATGTATATCAAGCTTTGTTGAAGAATAAGTCACGGTACGAGTTCAAATGTGCAGAAATATAATCACGTAGTCCGATCAAGAACGATAAACCTTGCGTTATTATATTCCAACGCAAGAAACGATAAACTTTGCATCATTATATTTCAACGCAAGGACACATTATAATAATTCAAACATACATCATAAAAAGAGAATTTATAAAATATGTTGAACTACACTCTGCGTAGAATTAAGTTTTCTGACGTCATTTGGTTTATTGACGTTATATTTGACGTCATAAAACATGAAAGCATTCATTTTGTTTTGTGCATCTATCGTGCTATATTGCACTCGAGAGTCCTATATATTTGATGGGAGAATAATGTGAAGCGATTTAGAACGCTTAACGATCTATTGCACAGGAATCTATTGTCTTTTATATTAAAAACCGATACAAAATTACTGTGAAGAAGTAAATAAATGTAATACCATTTTGACAAAGAAACGCATTTTGCAAGTAAACAGTTTTAAAGTTCCATTTTTCTATTCTATACTGTAACTATGTTCTTACTTATTCATAACGCAAATTAACATTTTGTCCGAAATGTTTATATAGTCTCAGTTGTTCAGATTTTTTGATAAGGTTGAACATTGAGCATGGTATTTATTGTCTATAGAAAGAGAAACCATTTGTTAGAAAAGATTTGTGTTCCATTCTAATTCTATCTTTTAAACTATTCTTTTGTTTAATCTGATCATTGTATAGTTTCATGTATGTGTACAATAAAATTGACATAACTAAACAATAGAAACGTTACAACAAAACTATATTATTTAGTTCATATTTCATTTCATGACAAAATTAGAAATGAGTGTTTCAATTGATAATTTGTATATTTTAGTTTTACTTAAAGTCAAGTTTAACTGAAGTCTTTTTGCAATCATGTAGCCTTCTTTCAGACTATCTAGGGGCCGCTGTTACGATGTTCGGGCAAGGCGAATTTTCACCGTGACATTTGACCTCATACATTGAGTCTTATTGTCGCTTGTCCATCACTTCTGATCCAGTGTTTTTGGGCGGTCACTCGTGGAGAAATTGATGATTAATGATTAGTTATTCTGCTTTAAATCGAGTTTATACAAGCAAACTAGACAAAATTAAGCTGTTGTGGATTGCATTAATATAACCAATTATAATTATATTCTTAAAACATAAATACGGTTTAAGACGGCATTTAGCTTGAAAAGTTCGAACTTACGATCACTGGTTTGATGAACAGAACCGGCTTAGTCATAAACACACGTATCATTTTAATAAGTATCATTTCTTAGATAGATATCTATGCAATAGAACATATTTCCAATTTAAAGTTAAATTTTGCTCATATTATAAGAAAAGATTATCTATAGATCTGTACGTACTCCATGTATGTAGAAATCTTATTGATACACGTTATGTTAAATACATTGAAAGTGATACCATTTTTAAAATTATTTCTTTATTACTTGTTTGTTAAAGTTTTATTACAGTTTCTGATTGCAGTGATCTTAATCCGCATTGATATATATTAACATCGTTTATTTGATAAATATAGTTATATCCTAGTGAAACAACAAAGTAAAAAAAGTTCAAACAACAAACGTCGGCATAAAAATGTGATCATTTTAAATAGTACAAATATATTCTCACCGCTTTTTAACAGTTATATTTCCTGGGTGTTTTTCTGCCGCTCTACATTGCTTGAATTTGTGTTTTTAAAGACATTAAAAAATGTATGGTTATGTTCTTGATCACTTCTTAAATTGTACTAGATGAACCTTTATTAAAACAAAATTAATGTACATTCAAAATTGATGTTATTGTTACACAAACATGAACGAACAGAAAAAATCGTATTCAAAATAAGGTTACTGTGTATGAACTGGTAAGTTAACGAAAACACCCTTAATTACATGTAATTGAATTTGGCTTGAAGGTAGGGGTCAACATACATAAGACAGTCACGGCGTTCCATATATTATTATATGTATATCAAGTTTTGTTGAAGAATAAGTCACAGTACGAGTTCAAATGTGCAGGAATATAATCACGTAGGCCGATTAGTAACGATAAATATTCCAACACAAGAAACGATAAACTTCATTATATTTCAACGCAAGAACATATTATAATAATTCAAACATACATCATAAAAAGAGAATATATAAAATATTTTGAACTACACTTTGCGTAGAAATAAGTTTCCTGACGTCATTTGGTTTATTGACGTTATATTTGACGTCATATAACATGAAAACATTCATTTTGTTTTGTGAATCAATCATGTTATATTACACTCGACAGTCCTATCTATTTGGATGGGAGAATAATGTGAAGCGTGTTAGAATGCTTAACGATCTATTGCCTTTTATGTCAAAACCGATACAAAATTACTGTGAATGTAATACAATTTTGACAAAGAAATGCATTTTGCAAGTAAACAGTTTTTAAGTTCCATTTTTGTCTATACAACATGTTCTTTCTTATTCATACCGCAAATTACTATTTTGTTGGATTGTACAGTTGTTCAGATTCTTTGATAAGGTTGAGCATTTTACATTCTATTTATTGTCTAAAAAGAGAAAACATTTGTTAGATTTGTGTTCCATTCTAATTCTATCTTTTAAAATATATTTTTGTTCTGTCTGATCATTGTATAGTTACATGTAAGTGTACAATAAAATTGACTGAACTAAACTAAAGAATCGTTACAACAAAACTATATTATTTATTTTATATTTCATTTCAAAATGACAAAATTAGGAATGAGTTTTTCAATTGATAATTTGTATATTTTAGTTCCTGAAAAAAATCGTATTCAAAATAAGGTTACTGTGTATGAACTGGTAAGTTAACGAAAACACCCTTAATTACATGTAATTGAATTTGGCTTGAAGGTAGGGGTCAAGTAAAAACTATGGTTCCCGTTGAAGCTATCTATATTTCCGACATAGTGTTTTGAAGATAGTTATAACTTAAAATTGAAATGTTTTTTTCCAGTATTGTAGGATGTTTATATGAAACTAAGTGTTTTGATAGGTTTGTATGTATTTGTGACTCAGCAAATGCTAGTTATTAGAACATCAAACATTGGTAGCCATTTCATTACAAGTAAGGAACGTAAAATTTTGTGCAAAATGTAAGTAAAAAATCATCGTTTCTGCTAGAATGGATTAGTTGGCACAGGCTAAAACGCAGACGCTTATGCAGACATTATAGAATATATAGTAAAGCGCAGAAGGAACGTAAATTTTGGGCAAAATGAACTTTAAAATTGTTTCTCCTAGAATGGATTAGTTCTATATCAGATTAGCGACTAAAAAGACGAATATATTTCACAGCAACTGGTATATCTCATATTTAACACATGTAAAATAAAGTAAACACCAATGATTATATTGCACTAAAACAAACCGCATCCTGTAATACAAAGTTATACTTGTTAGGCTAGACTCTAATGAATACACTTCCAAAGTATATAATATCTTAGTCGTGTATACTCGTATTTATTTAATTAACCTTACGTATATTGGTACCACGCACATAAAGTACCTCTCATTAACTTAAATTAAGATACAGACAAAATAATTGGTTCTATGTCGTTTAAAGGCAGATCAGCTTTATTTTGACAGGCAATAGAAAAATCTGCAGCTATTTTAGAATGAGAGTATTTACGTGGCCAATTGACATAATTTGTTATCAATAAATACTCCTTAGAGAGAAACCTTATCGTCATATTTCGAAAGAATAGTGAACGAACGTGAACATTTATTTTTAAAAAATTATTGCTTAGATTGATTCAAGTTTGAAATTAATAGTAACAGATTAATATAATAAACATATAAGCTGCAAGAAATTTGATGACAAAAAGGATAATTGCATAATTGTACAGAACTATGCAGGTGTTTAGTAAAGTAACAGTTCTTCTTGGTGTATATTTAATAAGTTTTGCAAGTTCAACAAAAGATCTTGATCGTTTGAAGGCAAGAGTCAAACATTTAGAAACAAGACGAACTCCGAATCTAAATTCAGAGACGAAGATTTTGCTGAAATAACAGAACGACTGGACGACATAGATAAAGTGTTAAATGCGACCATTGGAAAAGAACCGCTTAATCCTTCGGTGGTGACAAAAGCTAGTAAGATTGATTTTGAAACAGTGGATACATTGGAAGAGGATTTTACTAGACTCAGGACTGCCTTCACCGCTGAAAAGTCTGAGGCCGCAAGGTTTCGACGGGAAATTCCAAAGATTGAAAACAATTTGATATCCCTCAAAGAAGATGTTAAAAGTTATTGCAAAATCGCTGTTAATAATACTGATCAATTATTAACCAACTTTGAGACCGTCAAACATATGTCTAAAGTCAATTTAATAACGTCTGATAATGACCGTAAAGTATTACAAAGTATGGCTGAACAGGTTCAGCAAAATACCAAACAAAATGAAAACATCGCAACTCTCATAACTACTTTATATTCACAAATGGAACTTTTATTACCTCCAACCTCCTGTAAATCGTTAAGAGATATGAACATAATTGGAAATGGAATATACAAATTACAACTGGGGATTCAAGTGTACTGTGACCAAATTACAGACGGTGGTGGCTGGATAGTATTTCAAAGAAGACTGAATGGAGAAACGGATTTTTATCGTTATTGGGCTCAGTATAGAAACGGTTTTAGCGATCTAAACGGTGAGTGAATATTTGAGTGTTCTGACATCAAATGGCGTATACGAACTTCGAATAGAGATAGAAGATTTTGAGGGAAACAGTGCATATGCCAAGTACAGTAAGTTCAAGATATATCCGGAAGAAGACAATTACAAACTGGAAGTGAGTGGATACAGTGGGACTGCTGGAAATTCTCTTGCATGGCATAATGGAATGATGTTTACAACGTTTGATAGAGACCATGATAAATCGTCGTCAAATTGTGCGAAGGATTGGCATGGTGCGTGGTGGTATGATAATTGCCACTATTCCAATCTAAATGGACAGTATTATAACCAGCCTGGCAAAATAGATAGTACTGGAATTACCTGGTACGATTGGAAGAATGATTATATCTGTTTGAAAAAAGTGGAAATGAAATTCCGTTAACTTGATAAACTAAGATATTATCACAGTTATGAAATTGGTAAAGTAATACGTGTGTTGATTTTCTATATGTAAACCTGTCTTTGAGGAATGGAAACTGAACAATGCGTGTGTTGCTTTCCTATATGTAAACCTGTCTTTGAGGAATGGAAACTGAACAATACGTGTGTTGCTTTTCTATATGTAAACCTGTCTTTGAGGAATGGAAAGCTGAAACACTACGTGTGTTGCTTTTCTATATGTAAACCTGTCTTTGAGGAATGGAAACTGAACAATGCGTGTGTTGCTTTTCTATATGTAAACCTGTCTTTGAGGAATGGAAACTGAACACTACGTGTGTTGCTTTTCTATATGTAAACCTGTCTTTGAGGAATGGAAACTGAACAATACGTGTGTTGCTTTTCTATATGTAAACCTGTCTTTGAGGAATGGAAACTGAACAATACGTGTGTTGCTTTTCTATATGTAAACCTGTCTTTGAGGAATGGAAACTGAACAATACGTGTGTTGCTTTTCTATATGTAAACCTGTCTTTGAGGAATGGAAACTGAACAATACGTGTGTTGCTTTCTATATGTAAACCTGTCTTTGAGGAATGGAAACTGAACAATACGTGAGATGCTTTTCTATATGTAAACCTGTCTTTGAGGAATGAAAACTGAACAATGCGTGTGTTGCTTTCCTATATGTAAACCTGTCCTTGAGGAATGGAAACTGAACAATACGTGTGGGATGCTTTTCTATATGTAAACCTGTCTTTGAGGAATGGAAACTGAACAATACGTGTGTTGCTTTTCTATATGTAAACCTGTCTTTGAGGAATGGAAACTGAACAATACGTGTGTTGGTTTTCTATATGTAAACCTGTCTTTGAGGAATGGAAACTGAACAATACGTGTGTTGATTTTCTATATGTAAACCTGTCTTTGAGAAATGGAAACTGAACAATCACAGACGAATCACTGTCAGGTTGCCTTATTCCATTGTTACGGTGCTGATTAAAAATGTTACCAGACATTAAATAATGCCTTATACATGTATGTATTGTTTCCAAGTCTTCAATCTATATGAAGATACCGTAAACATTTTCGCCATATATTATATTAAATTTCATTCAAAGATATAATAAGGAAGGCAAATTGTGACTTTAGAACTTATATTGTTTTGAAATGACTGCAGGATTCGCTTTTGCAAAATGTGTTCAATGTCCTGTACGGATATCGTCCGGATAAAAATTAACAGTTTGACCTTGAAAGTGCGTGGAATATAATGAACTCACTTAACTATCCAAAACAGTTTAGAATAAATATCAAAATATCCAATACAGGAAATATATTTGAAGGCCGTGTGGTACAATTTAAAGCAATTGGTCATAACGTTTATTAAAGCTGCACGACTCCAGATGAGCAAAATTATTTCAAGAAAGGCAATATTGAAAAAAATGTACTAACATTTTAAGGAAGATAAAAACATTTAAGATCCAAGTAAAATTTTACATGTTATGCCCGGATTTAGACTGATTTTGCAGTATTTTATCACCATATTTCTACTGCGTTACTAACGCAATAAAGGCTGTTTTTGCATATGTATTACACTATTTGCTAATTTTCTTTGATTGTAAGTGCTGATTGCAATATGTAAATTATTTTATTTGTTCATCACACAATATTTTATTTTAATTACATTTCCAAAATGTTCATGCAAATTGATATGAATTTGGATGCGTGCCGCATAATGTTTTACAGAATATACGATTAAGTTGAAATATGTAAATTTTTGTAAAAGAACTAGTGTAAGATGTCGTCTTCCATTCTAATTATTATTAAATGTTGTTTTTTTATCAGCTTATTGTATATGTGTATTACATCATATTACGGCATATTAATATAATAATTTCTACAGAATTATTAAGTCAACCATTTAACCAGTTAGGGCCAAAAGTTTTCCTGTGTCACCAACACGTTGTCAATGTCTGCAAATCTAACAAATCTGCGATTTATCTGTGCTGCAGAGTATGTACATGTTACAGGCATGAGCTGCAACCGCCTCCGTGGTCTAGGGGTTAGAGTCGATGACTTCTAATCCAGTTACCTCTCTGGCGTGGGTTCGATCCCCGGGAGATGCTTTGGTAGTTAAGCACGGAGTAAGGTAGTCTAGTACTGGTGTAACTCTCCAGAAACGATGGTTAGGAAACTACCCGCCTATTTGACTGAAATACTGTTAGGAAAGGGCGCAAAATGAAACAAACAAAGTCTGAGCTGTAAAGTATGTACATGTAACAGGCCTCCAAATATAAGCGAGCACTTCATTGACTTACCGTGACCTCTTTTATATGATGGGTTAATCTCAAAAGCTCCATAAAATGACAATTAATGGCATAGAAAAAAAAAACAAAAGCATCACATATTATATAGAAAATATATTCAAGTCTTTTTCCGTAAATACAGGATTTGTTTGAAATATGATCAGTTTCATACCACAAGATTAAAATACATCCCGTATTGACAGACCAAAACTTGAATTGTCTGTTAATTATATCCGAGTTAATTGTTTAGACCTTACGACTCGAGAGACTTCCACTTAAATTGTGTGTAATTTTAAATTAGAAGAAAGTAGTCCGGAAAGACATCAGTGTAAATACAGGAATTATGTTTCATGCCAGTGAAAAAATAACTTTTCATGAAACATCGGAGAATGAAAAAACTCATTTTATTTCATCAACATTTCAATTATAAGTACACAATGTCACAGTATCATAAACTCAAATAGAACTTCACTGTTTAAACCCTGATGCACTCAAAGTACTACATATATACTCGAGGGAGTTAATACAATATTTTGCATCAAATAAAATGATGTTAATTTTACAGTTAATTATCTCCCTTTCATCCCATCGCATAATTATATCATTTAATATATGACGCGTTTCCAATGATCAAGTTGTCAAAGTCTATAGCACTCTACTTCTAGCATTTATAGGGGTTTTTTTCGAACTGAAGGTCTTTTATTTTACATTCTAAAACATGACGATGCGAATTTTTATGTGACGCATCTTTTTTCATCTTTTCTTTTTTTGTCAATGAACAAGTAACTTAATGCACGAACTTTGAGTAAGTTTTCGTCAGTGAATATTAATATCTAATTAATGTGTATGTTTTATAATTGGAAGTTGCTTGTAATATTATGTTGTAATATGTAGAGAAAGTATTGTTTACAGTGTTTGTAAATGAGTTAGAAACTTTTAATAGTATGTCTTTCTTTAAAGAAAATATAGAGCCACGGCTAGGCACCGCCAGTAAAGCATGGCAACTCATTTGAGCCGCGTCATGACAAAACCAACATAATGGGTTTGCGACCAGCATGGATCCAGACCAGCTTGCGCATCCGCAAAGTCTGATCAGGATCCATGCTGTTCGCTATCTGTTTCTCTACTTGTTATAGGGTTTACAAGCGAACAGCATGGATCCTGATCAGACTGCGCGGATGCGCAGGCTGGTCTGGATCAATGCTGGTCGCAAACCCATTATGTTGGTTTTGTCGTGACACGGCTCATTTGTTTTATTAGTTTGTCTGGTCCGTCTGGTCCGAAAATCTTTCTGATTGACAGACTCTCTAAACTTTGAAGAAATGAAATAAACGCCATATTCATACCTGTTGCAAATATCTAGTCAGCTAGAGATAATCAGTTTTTGATTGCGTTTAATGTACATGTAGCAATTTAAAAATGTGTATAACCAGTCACTGGTAATTTACCACAAATACGTATTTACCCGCCAGGACCTGCTTATTTGCGATAAATAAGTGTGTAATTTGAAATAAATGCAGTAAAGGGTAAGCAGAAACTGACAATTTACTGTACCAATTGCTGCTAATTTGCAATAAATACGTGTGCATGTGTACATGTAAAGCCTAGAATTTTTTATTTACAATAAATAAGTGTAATACATGGGACTGCTTATTTAATGTAAGAACATGAATAACCAGTGGCAAGAAATTTGCCAGGAATACATGTATTATATGTGTATTCAGGAAATGTGATTTACAATAACTAGAACTGGCTAGTAATTTACTATAAATACGCATACATGTATCAGACTATCCCTAAGAATTTGCATGTAATGTATTGTCATGTAACATCAAGCTTAATCTTGATATTAAAATACGTTTTGATAGTGAAAAATCGTGCATGCATTCCAGTCATAATCCCTCTGAATAAAAACTAGTCAAATGCCAAACCTCTCTGGAATATGCATTACAACATGTACCATGCATACGTATATTGTCAGGAAATTCCTATAAATACGTGTATTGCAAGTGTCTTGAAATGGGCCTTAAAGAAGTTTAAAGCAGGGGACTGGTAATTAATTATCAGAACGTGTGTAGCTGGGTACTGTTTTATCATAAAAACCTGTGAAACAGGGGACTGGTAATTTAACCATAGAACTTGTGTAGCTGGGGACTGGTAATTTACCATAGAAACATTTTGGGAACTGGTAATTTTACCATAAAAAACGTGTGTAGCTGGAAACTGGCAGTTAACCATAAAACGTCTGCAGTTGGGGATTGGTAGTTTACCATAAAAACGTTTGCAGCTAGGGATTGGTAACTTTCTTCGTGCATGTTTTAACAAATATATATTTATTGATGCATCTTTTCCCAAGTTGTTTCATTTTTTTAAAATATTCAATGGTGTAGGGTTATGATTCATTATCAACGAAAATTGATTTGCTTTGACCATTTAAGGTAATCTATCAGGATCTTTGGTAGATTTAAGTTGAAAGACATCACAATTCGAATAACTAACGGTATTGTGTATAATCAGACGCACAGTTCTAAGCGCAGAAACGCCGTGCTCAATACTGGCGGCATATGCATGTCATTAACCTATTATTATATGGTTTGATATATTTATGCCGGCTCGCCACGGCGAGCCGGTATTACGGTAGGATTTTACTGAGAAACAACCTAAAACTCCGAAGCTATCCAAAAATTTAATCGAAGCTTGGCTTCCAGCTTTCTACAAAATTTATCTATCAGGGCTAGGATCCAAAATTATTTAGCCAATCAAATTTAATCTTACATATCGTCAAAAAACCTTCAATTTTCACGCCATTTTTAAAAATCAGCAAGTATTGTTTTGAGCGCAAAGATATAATGATGATTAAAATGTTTGTCTGTATGAATTCTTTTCAATAAATCATATTTACACTGACTTCTGATTTAGCGATTTCACCTGTTTTCTCTGTAGTAAGTTTTCGTTTGGTTAATTAACATAAGTGTACATCTGGTTCTGTGCATTTTTTATTTTTCCTTTTTTCCGGTCATTTTATCCTTTCCGGTATTTAGTGTATGTATTTACTGGCCGGGATCCGGGACGCCCGGGATCCGGGATCGTATAAGATATGGAGGAAAATCCTAATGAACTATATTTGTGTTGATTGTTGTCGTAATGAAAGGCCATTAAACGTTAATTTTTTCTATTGTATATAATGAACGTTAAATTAATTTAACTTAGAATATAGATATATTTAGAGCTATTTATTAACAAACATAAAATGCGGAAATCACAATAGTTATAATTATATGCCTAATTAATTGGAAAAATCAAAGACTATTTTCTTGAATTGGTCAAATCCCGGGATCCCTGTATGTTTTAAAACGATCCCAGCTTTTCTGAAAACTATATACTTGAACTGGCCAATCCGTGAGATCTATTTACATTTTAATACGATCCCCGCTTTTCTGAAAACTATATTCTTGAACTGGTCAATTCCCGGGATCCCTATATGTTTTAATAGGATCCCGGCTTATCTTAAAAACATCTTCTTAGACTGGTCAATTTCTGGGATCCCTATATTTTTTAATAGGATCCCGGCTTTTCTGGCTGAATTGATTGACAACTTGTGTTTACTTTAGGACTTGTGCCTCCCATTCCAATACTAAATAACATACATGTATTACAACTTAATTTTGTATAAAGAGACATCTTTATGAAATCTACCTATCTAACATTTTGTGGTCAAGGTCAACAGGCCATATAGTAAATGTGCATAGACATATGTTCTTCAATCTGTTTACATGCACCTTCATATATACTCATACTCATACTCATCTTGGTTAAACTGAGAGAACTTTATATGTCACTTTCAGTCAATGAGTTTAAGATTTTGAATTTACTGGCCCGAATTCCAGTTTTGAATTTATTCTACTAAATAATTAACAAAATTTTCTTAAATTTACACTGGCCTGAACTTATATACACTGGCCATCGGGCACCGGGCCAGTGTTGACTTCACTTTTATTTTGTTGTTCGCTGAAGTCTCTTCAGCTAACAGAACTGTCATTTTTACATTTAAACACACCCCTTGAAAAAAATTACGAAGCGAGTCGCTACTAGCTTTTTTAAAAGCTAACCTTGTATATAATTAACACTAGATGTAAGCTCTGTGATCGTTCATCATTTGTAAACCATGAATTTGTTTGATTATATGTCAAGTTTAAACTGAACATCCGCTCAATAGGGAGTGACTAGATGTGAATCTAAGATGGGAAAACATTCATTTCATCATTTGACATAAAGCAAATGACAGGCAGCTTAGAAGGGTAGCATTCAACATTCGATCTTAATGACAAGCGGTGATTAAGCTGACTAAACATTCGATCTTAATTAATTGATTGATAAGCGGAGATGTTATGCTTACTCGATAATCAGCAAAAAAGAACTTTATTAAAACATAATAATATCAATCCTTCTAATTATCATCTTTTCAAATAAAACAAGATTATTGTATACAATTCGATTGTTGGTGTTGAAATTTTGATAAGCTTTGCTTCTTTATACAATATATATATACTTCAAATATGAAATTGAATAATTTACCACCGTATTTACGATTTTTCGTCTATGCTTGCAGCTCAACATTTAGTCAATATTGAATGTCGAGCTGAGATATGAAGCCGGCACGACATTCTTCAAACTCAACATTTGGTAAATATTGCATATATAGGTGTGAAATAAAGCTGACTCAACGTTAACCTCAACATTTAATTAAAGTTGAATTTCTTGGCGAGATATGAAGCTGGTTCAATATTCAGCTCAATATTTGTTCAATATTGAATTTTGAGCCGAGATGTGAAGCTGGCTCGACATTTAGCCCAAAATTTGGTCAATATTAAATGCCGAGTCGAGATTTGAAGCTAGCTCGACATAAAGCTCAACAATTAAATGAGCCGCGTCACGACAAAACCAACATAATGGGTTTGCGACCAGCATGGATCCAGACCAGCCTGCGCATCCGCGCAGTCTGATCAGGATCCATGCTGTTCGCTTACCAACTCTATTACAAGTAGAGAAACTGATAGCGAACAGCATGGATCCTGATCAGACTGCGCGGATGCAAACGCACTATGTTGGTTTTGTCGTGAAGCGGCTCAAATGTCTTTATCGAATGAAGATTCAGGATGATAAGCTTGTTTAACATTCATCTCAACCTGGATTTTTATGTCACCAGTTACTTGATTATCTGAACTAATTATCTGAAAAAAGTGATACAAATTTGATTTTCATTCTTTGTGTGGGTTAACAAGTTACTAGTAACACTTGCAAACGGGAATCTTTTTCTTAAAACAGTCAGAACTTTTGCCGCATGTCTCGTTTTTATTGTCAATGTTAGATTGTATATAGGCACACCTGTCCTTGCCAGAAACTTGAATCACATTGGAGGCATTTATGTGTTGCCAGCAACTTATATTGTTACCAGTACGCTCCGCTTGACACCATTCTCCAATCCAGTATCCGGGACCTGAAATAATAATTATGATAAACACGCTGTTATTCTTATACTAATATTTCTAAGAACCAAGACATGTGTGCCCCTAATCTCATCGGACCACATGCAAAATCACGCCGTAACTACTGGCCCTATTTTGTGATTGTGAGACAATTCCGTCCTATTTTCTTAGGGCTGACACGACTGGAAAGAAATTTATATTATAAATTTTAAGTGCCTTTATTGTTAAAATATTTTTTTATTGTTTCTTTTATTTAGATATATGATAATAACATAAATTGAAGGAACAAAATTGACAATGAATTAAAATAATAAAAGTTCTTTAAAATAAGAAGAATTGCTTCAAATTCTTTACATTAGATACAAGTACATGTATGTATATTAGGAAAATACTCGAAAATACTACCGGTTTGACAGGTATTACTGCCCTTGATAACAAGTATTATGACACACGTTTTCAAGTAGGTTATCTCCCTTTACATCTTATATTGAAATGATAGGATTATTTAAAAAAAAACTTATGAAAGGACGTGTACCTTCATTTTGGAAGCTTTTGCATTCACCCGAGGTTCGAAATAACATCTTTAACTTCACAATTCGGTGACAAAATTCCTGAAAATGCAGTATATACATTTTATAGTGTGAAACTAACAGCGAATCTTGTACGTGGTGGTATTTTGGTTTGTTTGTTTTGGTTATGTTGTTTGTTGTTGTTTTTTTATTGAACTTACTGATATTTTATAGTTATGGAATTAATATTACCATGGGTATACTGCACAAAAAAGAGAGAAAACAGGAAATCTAAACCTTAGCCTACTGGAATCCAAAGAAATAAGCATTTGCCACCGATAAAAAAGAATCCGCCAATACTGCACATCCGTGCTTTGTAACCATAAAATAAAACGATGCAATCTAAGAAACTTTTGTATCGTCAACAAAGTAAAGTGCAATCATAAATCAAAACAGTGCTCTCCGAAAGTGAAATCATGCATCATACTCTGTTCAAAATTTGTTAATTATCATGTATAAAAATGAGAGAAAAACGTTATCATGTAGTGAAAACTGAGATAAACAAAAAATATAGAACATTTATAATTAGTTAAAATATAATGCCTTGATCTATATGCATGTTAAATGTATAGAATACTAAGTATACCCAATACCATGGCATCGACGAATGAAACTCCGTCTTCATAAATGATATACTGTTGGTCATCAATGATTTTCTTGCTAATCTTTGAACACTCCGCCGAAAACGACTTTCTTTGATCTAAAAAAAAATAACTGATAAATTATGTTAGTAATGTGTATATCCCGCAACGCAGGAATGTGAACATAATGTAGAAATCATGCAAAAGTAAAACTGAATCATGTAAAATCCATAATCGAAACAAGCAACACGATGAGTGAACGAAAAAAAAAACAACAACGTTTTATAGTAGATTCTAATTCAACTAAAGTAGTCATTGTTAGCCTGCATAACTATGGTGGCTGGTTTGTGCCATTCGTGTTTTCGCCCGACGATCCTGCAAAACGAAAAGTCAAGAATTAACTAAATAAAATGGCGGGTGGGGGCGAAACGAATAGTCGCTAATTAGCTGGGCGCGGGCGAAGTTTAATAGATAAAACGGCGGGGGCTCGGAGCGAAAACACGCTTTTTAGCACCCTTACTAATAAGCGTTTTTTCGCTTTTTGGCCCCCGCCATTTAACTTTTTAATTCTCGGCTTTTCGGCGAAAATACGGTGATTAGAGGGGGCGCAGAGCAAAGTGTTATATATTATGGCGAGAACGTGCAGCGAAAACACAAATGGCACAAATCAGCAACCATACCACCTGCATTTTTCCTTGAACCGAAAGTGTTTGTTATTATGCAATAAAATCAGGCTGTGACTAAAAAAGGGATTGGAGCACCACACTAAATACCGTATTCCGGTATATACCGGACAAGGCGCTTGAATGATAAAATGCTAAAATCTTGTCTTTTTACCCAACGGAATGAACTTTAACAGGTCTAATTCATCTTTTCACACCGAATCAAGTACGACAATCAAGGAAAAATGTAAAATTCGGCGAAAAAAACGATATTTGTCTATTTTGTGATCATGATTTCTGCAAGCGTCTAGAGGTACTGCTCCAATCCTGTATTGAGCTAAATCCATAAAATCACTGTTGACGTTCTATATTTAGACATATATGACGTAATCATTAGATGCTGCGTGCACGCGGCGTCTCGTAGATATGCATTTGTCCATATAGCAATGGGGAAATTTTAGACTTGATTTTGTTTATTTTTTTAATTAGCAAAATCACACGTTTCTCAAATCTTCTAATAAAAATAGCTTTTCTCATATTTTCATATTTTTTCACCATTATCTAATTTTATCTACTTAATAAATAACTTGCCAATGAGCCAGTCTATAGTTGAACGTTACGACTGAGGCAGTGTCACTCACTTCATCTCCTCCGCCTCTGTTGAAGTTCGGCTCCGCCTTAAATTGTCACCAAATTTAATGTGATGCTCCGTATGCTAGCATTAAGTCTTAGTTGACGATCAATATCACTTATCGAATCATTGAATTACAAATTACAAAGCCTTAATCGCGCCCACTCTCTATCAGAGGCGGTTCTCCCTCAACCGCTAAGAAAGTACGCCAAACTCTGTGCATCGGTTACGCTACGGCCAGTAAGAGGAGACCACTGCAGAACAGTTCATTCTCAAAATCATTCGAACATAATGCAATCCGCACCAATATTTAAATGGACATATTTTCGGCACATATTGTCTAGAATTTATTTTAAGTGTACCAATCATTTCAATGTTACTTGTTCTCCAATTTATTTTGCTTCGACCAGACGTTTCAATCTTTGTCGCAACAGACAAACATTTTAGAATTTCAGACATGGCATTACTTTGTGAATTTATGCATTAGGTTCTACATTTTCACAAATATATGCAACTTTATTATGCAAAAATATGCAACTTTATTATACCAAGAACACAGTATATAAACGATTTGAACCCCAACCGGATCTTGTGAGAAGATTTTAGTGTCAGCCATATTCCACAGTATATAAACGATTTGAACCCCAATCGGATCTTGTGAAAAGATTTTAGTGTCTCCCATATTCTGTCACTTCATTTGTTTACGATATTGGTATTTATATTGATACTGATGGACGTTAGGTTAATGAATTTATATTTATAATGTAAGAGAGAAACTTTATTAAAGTCTAAGTTATGCAAAACATAAACGTTAGCACGAAGGCTATAAAATAATCGAAACTCACGAACAGCTTTCAGGTGATCAACACTGAACACGAACAAAAATCCGTCTTATTCCAATGTTGATTTAGTTAAACATTGAATTGTGATATCGAACTACTAAAGTAATAAATAACAAACGATAATTTAGTCATATGCATAACACTTTGCTGTATCTTGAACATAAATTTAAGAGTTTTACCAAGGAGGTCATTTCCGTAAACTGAACGTTACTTGCTGGTGATTGTGAACCCTACTTGTGAGTTTACGAATTTTATCTGTACCCTGACTTGTGAGTATTTTTAAAGATTTATTGGAGAAAAGTTTACGTTCATTGCGATTTTGTATCAATTATTGCCATAAAATATAAATGATTGTAATAGAATTTTAGTATATTAGGTGGGATCTAAGGTATTTACCGAGAATTGGTTTAACTGATAATATTGTTAATCATTTGTTTAATAAAGAATATAATGTTATGTATATTTTTCTTTCGGATCACCATGGAAGAATACAACTGTATATACTGTTCAGTAAAGACTACGAATCGCAATGCTATCATTGACCACATAATTATTCGCCATCCAGACTGCAACTTGAAAATAAGAATAAATAATGATCAGAATAAAATTTCCTACTTAAAAAAATTCAGCGTCACAGCCAATAACGTAAACGAAAAAAAAGAAGTTTATAACACCAATTGCTGAAATACTGACAATTAAAATTTCCCGAATATTCTCCGTTTAAAAAGATGCCAAAATTGTCGACGCCTATGAAAGATATACAAGAATAAAAGACGTACATGTCAGAAATAGAAAGTCAATGAATTTCTGAGAATATAAAACAGTGTTTAAAAAAGCAGAATGAAATCAACGGTAGGTGTAAAGCTTTCAACATGTTGAAATAAGTAATCTGCAAAAAAATCTTGTAATGATATTTCGAGGTTTATTGATACGGGACGTTATATAACGGTCACGTCAAAACTAACAACAATGCCGTTGAACTAAATATAAAAAATTAATTGTTCATATGATTGTAATATTTTAGCTTTATATCTTTCCAAAGAAAATTAAAAGGTAAGTAAAGATGAGGTTTGTTAGTTAATTATTCATATCAAGAAATAATTGACTTTCTGATTCGTATAAACAGCCACTCTCGTAGACAGTGAAAACATGACGAAGCTCCTCCATTGATATGCAGTTTTAGTTACTTAATTACATGTAAAACATGTACCCTAGCTTCTCTTGTGACACAATAACTTCATATTCTGCACAATAAAATTTGGAACATACGACAAAAAAAAAACAATAAAAATCATCAAAAGTGACTCGCAAGAAATGCTTCAGTGAAAACACAAGTAGGGTACAGATCATTAAAATTGTTTTAGCAAGACGGGTACAGTTATCAGAATGTTCGCCTCTATTATTTACTATGTTTTATCAATATTCAAAGATATTTTCACAAGTGTCTGTCCGGTAACATAAGGTTAAGACAATAAATTAAAGATTCAGATAGGAGTTATAGTGAAGTAAACCAATTTTAGGCATACATTTGCTTGTGTAATCGGCGTGTGTTGACATAAACAAAACATGAGGCGAGGAACACAGCGTCGTTTTATGCGCATATATTTTACGAAGAAGGTTATGAATGTATATTTAAGCAAAGATAAATCATTTCTTAATATGATTCAAATGTTAACATATTAAATTCAAGCCGATTTTTAATAGTTTAATGTGTCATTACGACTAATTGTACGTTTAGATGCTGCGATCGTCTTACAAGATCCGGTTGGGGTTTAAATCGTTTATATACTGTGAAGAATATTGAGGAATCAAAGCACTGAGTGTTGTATGCGGTAAGCCAGCGTAGGTAGTCAGACTATATTCTCCTTACCAGTTCCTGTCTTGACATTTCTATTTTGGCGTATGTTCAGACTATTCCTCTCCATTTTTTATTGTTTTCAATAGATTAATATTGATTTCAACATTTCAAAAAATAAACAATTGACACAATGGAATAACAAATATAGAGAACGATTTTCAATGCTGATTGACTGTTCACATCATCTGGCTGCGTCTTTGATGTGCTGCATCAACATTTAGCTTGTTTAACAATTTGACATAACTAGTAAAATTGCGACCCGCTGAAGATACGTACGGAAATCAAAGCACTGAAAGTACTGAAGTATACATTGCTTGATAATATAATCCATTTTTGACATCAAAGCCATGTTGATTTTAACCTACTGACCTCGAAAACAATAGGGATCATCTTCTGACCAAGATCAATGTCCCTAACAAGTGATTCACATGCACCAAGGCTTTTTTCTTCAAAAGTTATTTATGAGTCAAGGAAGATGTAATGTTCCATCTGTGTATTGCTATGACAAGCTGATAGATGAGCAATAAAGAAATCATTTTTTGAAACACCCGTCAAATGGACTGCAGTATAGAATATTGAAACAGTCATATTGAGTTTCCAGTGATGCTATCTGATAAAATACATGATCTGGTTTGAACTCTATACAAAGTCAATTAATTGAATCATCCTACAAGACTTAATTACCAAATTACAGTACATCTATGTACTGTACTTTGATGCATTAATAAATATATTCTGGTGTGTTGTATTTATCTCTACACATTTATTTTCAAATGCATTACTTTATCGTTAATTAATAAAAATGAAATCTATAATCACAACAATTCAAATGTACTGTAATATTTTCATTATTCAATAATTGTTACATATAGTCTTCATGAACAACCTTTCCAAGAAATCCATTTATATTGGACAGCAAGTTAACAAGGGTTTTTCCATAATCAGGTTGTGTTACCAACTTCTTAACTTTAGATGAACCATTGAGCTAAAACATTTTTTTTTCTATTTTTTTGGCTACTGTGACATACTTCTGATTTTTCAACCAAGGTGATCCATGTTCAAACTCGAGCAAAACCTGTCACACTCATTCTTACGATGTTGTGTGTGACATTTGGGACAAAAGTTTGACCAGTAGAGTGTTAACAAACTAAATGACCAGCAGATTGTTAACAACTGTAATGTCAGCATCGGATACACGTGGTTGATACCTAACTGATAAATGTAAATGGTTCGGCCGTGGGTATCCGACGATGCTAAATGTGGACAGACCAGAGTTGACATAAGATGGATGGCCGACATTCAACAATATAAAACCTCACATAGCCTGGGATTCAGGCGTTGATAGCTTTTGCTTATTCATAACATTTTTTTGTTCATAACATATGCGCATAATATTCCGTATTCGTTCGTCGTTTTGATAGTGTCGATTTTGCCAAACAGAAACATAACAAAAAATCGACAGACTGGAACCCAGGCTAACCTCACCCTGAGCTAGCCAACCTATAAGTTTCACCACTGACTTTTTCATACTCTACATATTACAAAAAATAACTGACATTTTACAAAGGTAATAAATTCTATGTCATAGTTATTCATTTAAACGATTGAAAATGTATTTAGCAGCATTTTTTAAAAAATATATATAGTATTTTATTGCAAGTAAAATGTGTTGTTTGTTGTTTTTTTTTTCTATCTTTTTGACGCTAGGCAGTATCATAGCCGATTAACAATTTCATACAATGTTTATTACAAAAATATTACTGATATTTTACATTTCTTACACATGAATTATAATGTTATAATCATTCATTTAGACGGTTAAAATTTTATTTAATAGTTCTATTTTTGAAATGTCCATTTCATCGCAAGTAAAATGTGGTTTTTTTTTTATTTTGGGCTTTTCCATTTTTTTGACGCTAGACCGATACGTAGCCGAAAAACACTTTCATGCTGTATTTATAAAAATATAAACATCACTGACATTTTACATTCGTAACAAAAAGAAAGTAATAGTTATTCATTTAAAAGGTTGGAAAAAAAATAGCGGCTCTTGTTTTAACTACGACTATTTTAATGCCGTAAAAATGTGTTTTCCGGCTTTTCCATGTTTTTTTTTTTTTTGACGCTAGACTGTAACTTTGCCGAAAAACACTTTCATATCGCATTTAATACAGAATAGAATCATTCTCTAATTTACACTGGTTGCAAAAAGAAAGTAAATTTTAATCATTTAAAGGGTAGAAAAAAGTAGATAAAACTTATTTTGTTGGAATTATACCAATTGTATATATCATCGATTTAAAACTGATATTATTGAACCCATTTCATCAAATAACCGTCAAAAACCAATTTCATCAAATAACCATCAAAAATGGTTTATATTGCTGAATTAATATTTCTTTGTATTTTAAGTGTTTTTCGGTATTTTTTTGGTGTTTTTCGGCAATTAATATAAGCAGATAAAAAATAACATAATGTATTTATTTCTTAATGCTTACACTGATTTACAGTTTCAAATGATTATTTCTTCTCGTCGAATCTTGCCACATATACCTATATTTAGCTCCATACGTCAATATCCCAAGTTCGACGAATTGTAATGGGTCGAACGGTCGAGCGGCCGAATCTTTATTTTTACCCGTACTGAATCAGGCAATCTTCGCTGAATTTCGAAACATATTTCTTTTCAAAAATCTAAGGCATACAAAAGCTGGAACATACGATACGTTATAGTACATCCCAGACAAAAGTGAAAGGAAAATCATGTGTAAAAAAGGTATTCAAAAGAATAGCTTACGAAATTTCTATTTTTCGAAGTCACGATACTAATTGCCAGTTTTTGAAAAAAAAACATTTTCCGGTATACGCTGGTAAATTTTGTGACGGTGCTCCATACTTATTTTGTAAAACATTTTAGGGCAATTTTATTGCATAAATGTAAATCGGGAATTTTATTTGATTTAATATCTACCTGAGATGTTTCGTCCCATTTATATAATACACCGATATACACTTTTAGAACTAGCAGACGACAGGCTATTCTTATCATTGCGTATCTCACTGTATAAATCGCATGTAAAATGGTCTGACATATGGTAGGTTTAACAGTTAATTTAAATACTTTGGAGTCAAAAGATGTATTGAAGTTTATATTGTGATGAAGCTAAGATCCAAAGCTTTCTATTGGTGTAATACATTTTAAAATCGGACATTTAATCACAACAAACTAGCGGTTTAAAAAAAGCTTATTTTGTATTGTTTTAGCATAAGCGCTGACGACTTTACTATATTTACGATGTATTCATTCATGCTAGCAAGCGCATGCGTATATGCGAAGTTTAACGCGTAGGTATAAACTACGATTTTATCAATGAACTGTTAGTTTTTTGTTTTCTTTAAAGGAATGTAGAGTCTATTATTTCATGAAAATGAACGATTTGCAAATTTCAAAGCATTTAAACAACTTTGCAAAACACTATTTTAATGATGTGTAGTCGGAATGTACCGCTACTGCAGAATGAAGAACTAGTTTCTATAGCGGTTTTTATCCGGGAGTGGATGTTGTTCGGT